CAGTGCATCCCTAATATTTACAATTGTACCTGCCATTTATGCGAGTTACATTTCCACAATGCACAGCCAGGCAGATGACACATGTTCCTGAGTGTATTGCATATATTTATTTAAATTAAAAAATTATCATTTTTCCAGACACACATACAGCACCTCCAACAGTAGAGGAAAATGTAGGGACAGCCGGTTAAACAGGATGTGTATACCACCTAGGTATGGATGGAACTGTAAAACAGCTGTATCGGCATAATTAAGAGATACCATTGCTATGCGAAGGCCAACTGTCATGCCTTATGGTTTAGATCCCCTTTTGTCTTCAGTAGGTTTGACAGGGGTCAGTGCTATGATAAGCGGTGTTGTCTTCCTGGGATCAATGCTCGCTTTGATATGCTAGAAACTTTGGGAATGCCAGGGCTGTTGATGAAGATCATATTAATTTAGGACTGTTCTCAGGGACAGAAAAGAGCCAAAACATTCGTTTACAACGGTTTCAAAGAGACTTCAGTTGCCATTCAATTACTCTCGTCAGAAAGATATGATTGTGTTCTTTGGACCAATCGTAGATTCCTCATGCGAGTGAATGGAGGCAACTAGAAAACAACTTGGATTGGCAGAAGCCGTAGGAGGACTTCACTGAGGAACTACTATGACCAGAGAACTTTACTGGAACAGAAGGATAAGAATAAGCCACGACAAGAAGCTATTTTCCTGAGAACGCTTAAATGCCACAAAGTCCTGTTCCAAACAGAATTTGTAAAGCAACAACAACTAAGCTAAGTGACTTTAGTATATCCTATTGCATAAAACCATTGCACGTACTAGAAAGGATAGATTAGTAGGTGCGTCTGTGTGTGTGTGTGTGTGTGTGTGTGTGTGGAATTGTAGCAGCCTGTCTGTTTTTATATTGTTTTATATGTAATATAGTAGTCTGTGCATGCAGCATTCTTATATAGTAACAATACGTTAAATACTACTTTTGGGTCGGTTTTCTTGGCTTTACTACAAGAATCAGACTAATAGCTGTAAAGGTTTGCCTAGCAAAACACTGGGTAGAGGGAATGTAGTTAAATGCTGTACATGCTTTCTTTAGTATGTCAGGACTTTAACCTCTTGCCGTCTCCAGACGGCAATTTTTTTCTGCTCGCGCGCGCCCCCTAGCGGGCACGCACGGGCAGAAAAGACCCGACGATTAAACACACCCGTTACCGGGTGTTTCACATATAGGCGATCAGCGGGTCCATAGCCCGCCGATCGCCTATATGTGCTCGTTTGCGGGGTCCTAGAGACCCCTAATATCTCCATAAAGAGGACCTGTCAGTGTGCCTTTGCTATTATATAGGGGGTTGTTATCCCCCTATATAATAGCAATAACAATAAGTGCAAAAAAATAAATATAAAGAAAAAAAAATAAAAGTAACACATAAAAAAATAAAATAAAATAAAAGTCACATATAAAAAAAGGGGAAAAAACCCCCCAAAATGTTTAACTCCCCCACCCCCACGTTTACGCGCCTATAAACGTAAATACGCGTCCGGTGCCCCAGCGCGCAAAAATTACAATTGCGCTACACATGTTACATATCGCCGCGAACGTCGCAGTGAGAGCAATCATTTTAGGGCCATCAATCACTGATAACACTAAACTGATGAGCGGTAACAGCTTTTAAAGCGTCGCCTATGGCCAATTTTGGGTATTATCGTTTTTTGAGGTTTCGCGCGCGCACGCAATTTTAAGGCTTGACATGTTTAGTGTCTTTTTACCCGACGTGACCCCATCTTTTATATTTTACCAAAAAATTGGGTAATAATAAATGTTTTATCATTTAATATAGGGGAAACTGTTTTTTTTTTTTAAATTTCGGTAATTTTTCCTTAATATAGTAAAAAAATAAAACCCCCAGTGGTGAATAAATACCACCAAAAGAAAGCTCTATCTGTCCCCAAAAAAGGGTATAAAATTCATTTCAGTACAGCGCTGCATGACGGAATAAATGTCAGTCAAAGTACCGCAGCGCTGAATACTGAAAAATGGCCTGGATGGGAAGGGGGTTTAACACCGCGGATGTCAACTGGTTAAAAAAAAAAAAAGAAGATTTTTCTTTTTTTAGCCATGTAAATATGAAATGCAATATTCTGCATTTTTCTCACATTTATAGGTTGTCTTAGCAACTTCTGATTAAAGGAGAACTATGAGGTGAGTGAAAAATCACATAGTTCAAGGCGACATGTGACAATGAAACTGTAACACGTCGGCTCAATAGATCGGGAAGTGAGCAAACACATACTGTCGCTCGCTCATTTCTCGATCATCTCCTGCAGGGAGCCGTGATTGTCACTCACGGCTCTCTGCAGGGATTCCCCACCTACCCACTCCGATCCTCCAGCGCTGACTGTAGGAACGGACAGGGGAGGGGGCGGGTACAGCTGGCTCTGCCTCTAGATAGGCAGAGCCAGCTGTCATTCACGCAGCTGGGTGGATCTCGACAGTAATGCCGGGATCCGTCCCGGCTGCGGCGGTCTCAGTATACCGCGAGCTGTAGTTATATACTGAGCTTTGGGTCACGGGAGGACGCTAGTTTATGTCCTCCTGTGACCCTTAAGAGAACTATGGGGAAAAACACTTACCCCGTAGTTCTCTTTTTAAAAGAAAAATAAAAAGCCTGTAGCTCAAGTTGAAACGTAACACTCAATGATTGATTCAAAGCAAAGACTCCTCCCTTGTTAGACAGCTCCTTCTGCGTTTGCAATCAGACAAAGCAAGCTTTGAAGCGGGAGCGGCATCTGCTGTCTGTTTCTTAGCCCATAGCGTCCTGAAAATTGTCATATATTAAATATTTACATATAAAAAGAAAGATTGTATAAATAAAAATGTATAAAACCGTTAAAATATATATAAATGTTACAAAAAAATGTAAAAATAAATAAAGTTAACCAGAAACCATTATAGTTGCCCCATTTAGAAATGTTTCCCGTTTCGGCAACTGAGCTTCCTATGTCACTTCTCCTTGGACAGCATCCTCGTTGGAGTGTGAATCAGCATCACTGCTTCTGTCCAGGAAGAAGAAAGTTGATCTAGGAAGCAATGATGGTAAACCAGAGTGATCTTACTGTTACACAGTGTATGCATCACAAAAATGGCTGCCTGATATTACAGTGTAACCATGAGCATATGTATTATAACCGCGTATTTAGCTCTTTGTCTGTTCCAGTGTAAAGGTAGCAAGGGGTTCATTAATTTATAACCACACTTCACGGACACTTCACTGAACATGTACCGACCAAATTCCTCATTCCATCTGCTGAATGTTTACTTGCCACTAGTTATTCCAAAGCAACAGAACTATCAAGTGGCCTCTGTTATCAAGAGGGGCGAATGGATTCAATCAATGCTCTCTATAGTAACCGACCTGTCTCCTTTTCCCACTGCATTATGGGAATGACCTTACTGGCTGCACTGGCTAACTTTCCTCCAACGCATTGATAATGGAGGTCTCATATAACTATGATTCAGAGTCTGGCTATCCAACAGACCTGGCTTAGGAGGCAATTTAGAGCAGGGTTGGATATATCTCAGGAACCAGTTAGCCAATGGTCCTTAAAAATTACAGCTGGCATCTGTATTATGAGGTTTCTCTAGTAGTCAATGGAGCTGCCTCCTAAAAAAAAAAAAAAATCCTGCTGGCTCTTAGATTGGACAAACTGGCTCCTGAATTTCATAATTAGTCCACCTTTGGTTTAGAGAGGTGGATGATACAATTCACTGTTCCAAGTTTTGCCTTTAAAGGAGAACTATGAGGTGAGTGAAAATCACTCTTTCTCATAGTTCAAGCCGACGTGCGACAATGAAACTGTCACACATCAGCTCTATAGATCGGGAATTGAGCAAATGTACAGTCGCTCGCTCACTTCTCGATCATCTACCTGCAGAGAGCGCTGACTGTAAGTCATTGCTCCCCGTAGGGATTCCCCCCCTCCCCGCTCCTCCATCGCTGACTGGCGGAACGGACGGGGGAGGGGGCAGGCACAGCTGGCTCTGCCTCTACATAGGCAGAGACAGCTGTTATTCACACAGCTGGGTGGATCTCGACAGCATTGTCGGGATCTGCCCCGGCTGTCTCAGTATACCTAGGTGATCGAACGCCGGTATGTGTTCGCTCACCTCCCGATCTACTGAGCCGACCTGTGACAGTCTCATTGTCACAGATCGGCTAGAACTATGAGGTGAGTGAAAAGCACTCACCTCATAGTTGTCCTTTAATAACCTCCAACAAAATGGGGCCATGATGGAGTCTGAGCAGCATAAAAGTAGTATCCAGCAAGTCATATAATAGGCAGAAATAAAGTTTAAAAAGACGTATACGGATCACTATAAAAACAACCTTGACAAGAAGGCTGTCTATTGATAGATATGGCTATAACTATCCTCTTATGTACACCCGAAGAGGGCAGCAAATTTGTTACGCCGTATCAATAATCATTAAAAAAAAAAAAAGCAGGCTATCACATCAGTGGGAAGTGACCTCAACCTATCAATTCACTGGGAAGTAGTAACATCACTGGAGAAGCTGCCTATGCATTTAGTGGAAACCAGTGAAATCACTGAAGGTATGACTTTTACATCCTCTGAAAACCAGTGACAAAACTGAAGCGACAGCCTATGAATTCAATGGAAAATGAGTGACATCGCTGCAGAGGCAGCCTATGCACTGGGAAATGAGTGACATTGGAGGCAGCCTATGCATTCCCCGGAAAGCAGCAACATCACTGAGAAGGTAGCCCATCAATTCACTGGAAACCAGTGATATCACTGCAGAGTCAGTCCATGAATTTACTAGGGACAAGTGACATCACTGCAGAGATGGCCTATGAATTCACTGGAAACCAGTGACATCACTAAAAGTCGGCACCATCCACCACTGAAACACCTGTGGCAATATCCACAAAACGTATCCCTCCCCTGTGCATTGGTAGAGCAGGTATATTTTAAAATGTAGACTACAAAAGCAGCCCCAGTCCAAGTGATTAAATTAAGTGACCCCTGGCTGCAATGTCCTCCTATCCTATCCTGACTGGGGCTTGGTAAAAAGCATTAAAATACTCTAGCAGCAGTAAATGGAGTATTGCTGGTGAAGATCTGCGACACCAAAGATGCAATCGAGCAGTGCACTGCGGTTCTACAGCTGTGATTGGCTGGGCCAGATGTGGATAAACTATTGCTAAGATGTTACAGCCTCATTTCCGTAACTGAACGGAACATGAAGACTGGTGTGCTCGGCACGGATTTGTACCTGGTGGCATTTGCTACTAGGCTAAAATATGACTCGATTCTAGCCAGTTATTCCCCAGGCCACTCGGCCAGCCACTGTTGGCACACAGCTCTCTCCTCCTCCGTTTCCCTCTTTTCCTCCACCGGCTTCAGTGGCTCGGTCTTGCCTTCCAGTCCAGTACTCTCCATGGAAAATGCCTTGTTGCTAAGGTTAGCCATGGCTTCACTCAGGCTCTGGACAGTTTCTGTCGGTGTCCAGTGGGGGTCGTTTTCTGGCTGAAACGGATCGGGAGCTGTGACTTCGATGAGCTCGTGGTCGGTGGGGATACATAGGTAGTAGGCGTGCAGCATCATCCTATATGGGTCAGTGTCTGTCTTAAAGCTATAGGTAAAGTCCCCCACGATGGGATAGCCCAGGGCACTGCAGTGGACTCTAAGCTGGTGTGTGCGACCTATTGGGATATAAAAATACAGACATTTTGCATTTAATTCACAAAAATGAGGGGTTATAGCTTCATCAATCCTGTGTCAAACTGTGACCAAGCCCCTATGACCTCATGCACACAGGCGGCCAAGGGGCTGTAAAAACAGATGTTTAAAGTGCGTTTTTACTGCCCTGTCTGCACACCTAAACCATAATATAGCAGCCGCTCTTGCTTGTGCACATGCTGTGGGTGCAATATTTAGCACTGCAGCAAATTTTAAACAGCATGCCGTGACTGGCAGGCGGTGCCAGTCAATCAGTGGGACAATGCTGCAACCCCCCAGGGGAAACGGTTGCAATAGAAAATCCCCAATGGGATTTATGGGCACTAGATAGATCTAAGGAGCATAGGAAAAAAAAACCTGATTCCTATGCACTTCGGCTCCATCTAGTGGTCATAATGCAATATTACATCACAACACATTCTACCTGAAAAGAAAACATATTAAGACCATTTACAGGTAGTCACAGGGTCTAGGGCCATGCAAATTGTTTATAAAATAGACGCCATACTGTCTTCACTGCTTCAAAGCGACCATTAAAGTGGAACTGAACTGTAAAAGTGAATATTTGTTATGTTATATCGGAACATCTAGAATTGTTAGTTGTGCTTAAGCAATTACCAACTGGTAAATTGTATCTTTTCACAGACATTTCTTCTGAAAAATATGAGTGCACTTCCAAGAATGAGTGTACCAAGGCCAGGGGTGGACAAACCTTGACCCTCTAGCTGTTGTGGAAGTACAAATCTCATGAAGAATTGCAAGATTCTCACAGCCACAGGCATGACTCCCGGGGACAGACGCATCATGGTATTTGTAGTTTTCATCACAGCAGGAGGGGCGGAGTTTGCCCACCCCTGACCTAAGCACTCCATGTGTCTATGTCCATGTGTCTCAGGCACCACTGCCTCTGACTGCTAGTCTCAGGAGATTTGGGGGGAGATTTGGTGATGGCGACTACTCTGCTGATCGCTGTTCTCCTTGCTAGAGGTTCTATAAACAAGGATGTCCCCTGCACACCATACAGCAATAAAGACCAGAAGTAATGGTGCTGCTTGTAGTGATGTCCACAGATGGTGCGTATATCAGATGAACAGCAATGAGAATCTACAGCACACATGGGATGAAAATAAATCCAAATTTTCTTTTTATTGTAGAAACACGTCACTTGTTTCAAGAAGCCAACCTTTTGGAACCATGCAGGGTTCCTTTTTTAGGGCAGACATAGTCACTATAGTTGGCGAAACATTGGCTTCTTGATACAAGTGACATGTTTAGATTGTAAGCCCTCAGGGGCAGGGCCCTCCTTACCATCTTGTCTTGAATTGTATTGTGATTGTAATGTCTTCCTTATATAGTAAAGTGCTGCGCAAACTGTTGGCACTATATAAATCCTATATAATAATAATAATAATAATAATGTTTCTACAATAAGAAGAAAATGTGGATTTATTTCCATCACATTAGTGCTGGTGATTCTCATTGCTGTTCATTTGCTAGAGGTTCTGACATGAGGAAGCAAAAACCTCCGTCTACCAAGATGGCCGCCTCCACATAAAGTGCAGTACAGTGCAGACCAATGTATGGTAAGTCCGTAATGGAGGAAAAAAATCAGCTGCAGGGAGACCACTAGCAATACTGGTGACTTTTAGTCCTTTGCCTTCCGCCTGCCTTTTCTTTTGGGGCACGTCTTCCTGAGTTCAGTTCCTCTTAAAGATTCTAACTTGCACATTATATATGAGAATGGAATTTTCCATCTTATTGGATTGTATAGGACAATACAGGCAGTCCTAAAAACTTTGACTACGTAAAAAAAAAAGTTCTCTATGATTTCTTCCCCTAGAAATATAAACTGACAAACCCCAACTATGCATACCAGTTAAGGGCTGTAACAAGACTTTGGTGACAGGTTCTCCTTTGTATAATCCATGCTGTAGGACGGTCAGGTAGGTCTGACAAGGCTTTTCATTCTCACACCCTGCAGAAAGAAAGAAAAATAGGATTTTGGAGTGAACTATTAGTGTACTTGTTGTGCAGAGAGGTGACCATACAATCATAATGCATTACTGTGCTGAAATTGCTTACACTGATATCACTGCACACTGAGAGCTTCTCACAATGTGCATTAGAAGCTGAAGCAAGTCAGATAGAGCCCGCCTCATTTCCTGGCTGGAAGACGTCTAGCATCGTCTAGCTCTTTCCTCCCCAGACTGACCGTCCGTGGCCTGACCCTTTCGTTCTTAGGATTTCAGTTCTTCCACTCATGGAGACTCAGCATCACATGTGGGCATTACCTAGGGCAGCCTACATGCAAATTGACTGCTGACTCCACCAGACATACACCCACCCAGCAAGGCATTTTTATATTTGCATAACTCCTCCCAAGAGCCAGCCCGCTGCTTGGGCTGCATCAAGGCTGAGAAGAGTACTGAAACAGGGTGCTGTGATTCATGACATTCACCCATCAAGGCATTTTGATATTTGCATAACTCCTCCCTAGATCCAGTATACCGCTTGCATTAGTACTGAGGGCGGGGTGCTGTGATGGAAGCCCTTCCCATCAGCCATGATATGCCTGCATTGTATTGAGACCCAGTAATGACATCATTGGGTCTGAAATAATGTATTGTAATGTAATGAAAGCAGAAATGTTTTATTTCAAAATGGCATTAGAATGTTGATGAAGGGAGAGGGAGGGAGCAGCCAATAAACTTCAGCATTAAAAAACGTTATATGTAGAATAACAAACTAAAAACATGAATAAACATGAAGCCTCACCTTCAGTCCCTTCCACGCACATCATGTGCGTTAGTCCCTCTTGTGTGTTCTTGCCAATGGCCAGTGTGATGGTCATGCAGCTTTGTGCAACACTGCCCCTGACCTGTGTGGGGAAGTCACAAGTCTCAGCACAAAAAGCTTCTACAGTAAGTCAAGTCACCCAGTTTAAGTACTTGTAAAGCCAATGACTAAAAGCACATAAAAGGTTTAATATATTTATTGTATTTTCAAAACTCATTTTTTCAATTTGCAGCTTTCATTTAAAAAATACCTGGCGATCCTGTCACAAAGATCCTTGTTCAGGCACTTCCTGTAATAGGGTGACAACACTCTGTCCCAGTTCCCAAATTGTGCTCTTGCATTGCCACCCTGTTACACGGACTTCTGATGGAGACTAAACATGTCCGTTTTAACACACATTACACAGGCATGCTCCACTATTGTCACCCCCAGGAAACCCATCCTGACAAATGCCATGCAGCCATCAATGTAGTCCATGTAGGTGGGAAATCATTGGAAAATGGCTGCAGCAGCGATAAGAGGACCTCATCCAGGCTTTCACAACCAGCCTTTCAAGCTTCCTCCGGGGTGCCTTGAAATTTTTGCACAGTGTCATGTTTTTCCATGGCGCAAGCTGGCTGGCCGCCAGCACCACGGATGCAAATAACACTAATCTGGGGAGGGTGGGATCTGTTCACAAAAGGATGGAAGTTCTCCTCTGTCCAGGCCTGCTCCACAACACATACTCTGCCATGCTGTGCAGCTGTGGCTTCTGATGTGATGGAAGGGCTCTGATGTGAAGGGGGAGGGAATCCTGATTTGAAAGACAAACCCCGCTTTTCCTGTTTTTGCATGGGGTCCCCCCCCCCCTTAAAATCCATTACATTTTACAATGTGGTGCCAAGAGCATTAGGATACTTTTAAAGGCCCCTTTCGCACAGGCTGATCAGGGGGAACCATTGTGACATCCGCGTTCATCAAGTTTTCTCCTCTTGCAATAGAGGAAAAACACTGAAATTACCTAACCTCATGTTTGTCTACGGCAGTGGTGGCGTACCTTGGCACTCCAGCTGTGCCAAAACTACAAATCCCAACATGCATCTGCCTCTGGGAGTCATGTCTGTGGCTGTCAGAGCCTTTCAATGCCTCATGGGACTTGTAGTTCCAAAACAACTGGAGTGCCCAGGTTCGCCACCACTGGTCTACGGGAATTGGAAGTAACAGACATCATCAGATTACTCCCGATTCAGCACAACCGAGTCTGTCAAAAGGGAACACTGTTCCATTTCTTTTTCCAGACATGGCCAGAATCAGGGGTAACCGTGTAAACAGTTTAGACTCAACTGCCCACCGACTAGCATTCGATATCGGGTCTGCCTGAAAAACTGACAGGCGGACCCGATCGGACCACCTGTGTGAAAGGGGCCAAAGGGTGCCGTGACTGTGGAAAAAAAGGATGAGAAATGCGGATCTATTCCTCTATGCAGCAATGGTTACAATCATTAGCTAATTCCCTCCAGCGTTCTCTAGAATTGTTACATTTGTATCTCCAGGTAGTAGTATGTATTTGTATCCTATGATCTCAGCTCCATCTAGGGGCCATATTGTGATATTTTCCCGACTCACGCTGCTATTTATGAATGAACCTATTTTTACTACTGTCCATAATATCTGAAGAACATTCGACCAGAAGAGAAAATTAATGCACCTGCCACATCTAAAGACCATAACACGCTGCCGGGCTTCCTGATGACCAGGAAGCTGACTCCATGGAGCCTGCTTCCCGGGCTAATCTGGAAGCCGTGGTGGGGAGTCATTACCCTCCCCTTGGCTTCCTGGTTGGCCAGGAAGCCGGCTCCATGGTGATGAAGGAGCATTGAGCCGACTTGCCAGCCAATCAGGGAGCCGGGCAGCGTGTAATGACTGGTCGTCCGGCTTTGTGATACCGGAAGTTCCGGTATCGGAATAGTTATCAGGAGTATTTGGGGCGAGTACGACTACTTGCCCAAATACTCAGTAACTGCACCGATACTAGTATCTGTACATTCCTATCAGCTACCATTGCTGGCCTGCTTTTGAAAATGCTAGATGTCTGGCTGTCTTTGGCCATGCACTGTGGCAGATGTGTGTAAATCACAAGACCCGCTGCACTGAATTACAAACCCTTTGACAGAGACAATGGTATTCATATGTTTGCTCAACGTTTATATGTATGGCATGTGTTGTACTTGCCAGTGCCAGGTAAGCCTTGGTGACTGTGCGCTCTTTAAAACACTTGTACGCGCGTCCTGCCGCTTCTTTGCTAAGGGCAACGCACAGAGCCCCACTAGTCGAGAAGTCCAGCTGATGGCAGAACCTGAATGTTGGAGAGATGATACAAAAATGAACACCAAACAGGTTGCAGCAGTGCTAACCTACAGCACACCTCCCTGCATGTTCATTTACTTCTGGCCTCACTTTGATTTGTCAGACATTAAAGAAAGCTGCTGCAGGTACTTTTTTTTAAAGGAATACTTGAAAATACTTATTTTTGGGAACTAAACTACATTCCAACAGGCTGACAATTCCACCAGTCCACTCACAGTCACCCACCTGAACCCATAATAGGTGTCCGGATCAGCCAGCTCAGGGAATCGGTGCCTTAGCTGGCTCTGTACCGTCACTTTCTCATACCACATCTTGCTGTCTATGCGAATGTCCCAGTGCTTGTTCACCACTAGGAAGTCCGGGCTCTGGTACAAAATGCATAGGCTCTCAATGCTGCCTGCCTCCATTGCTGCACAGATACTGCCTGAAAGACAAAGGGAGTAAGAAGAAAAGTCTGAGTGCCATTGATGATAAATGAGGCTTTTTACCTCAACTCTGGCAGGTGAATCGGCGGTGAAGAAGCAGGGGAGGTGGGCTATAAAGGAGCAGGGGAATATAAAGGAGGAGGTGAGCTATAAAGGAGCGGGGGGATATAATGGAAGAGGTGAGTTATAAAGGAGCGGGGGGATATAGAGGAAGAGGTGAGTTATAAAGGAGCGGGGGGATATAGAGGAAGAGGTGAGTTATAAAGGAGCGGGGGGATATAGAGGAAGAGGTGAGTTATAAAGGAGCGGGGGGATATAGAGGAAGAGGTGAGTTATAAAGGAGCGGGGGGATATAGAGGAAGAGGTGAGTTATAAAGGAGCGGGGGGATATAGAGGAAGAGGTGAGTTATAAAGGAGCGGGGGGATATAGAGGAAGAGGTGAGTTATAAAGGAGCGGGGGGATATAGAGGAAGAGGTGAGTTATAAAGGAGCGGGGGGATATAGAGGAAGAGGTGAGTTATAAAGGAGCGGGGGGATATAGAGGAAGAGGTGAGTTATAAAGGAGCGGGGGGATATAGAGGAAGAGGTGAGTTATAAAGGAGCGGGGGGATATAGAGGAAGAGGTGAGTTATAAAGGAGCGGGGGGATATAGAGGAAGAGGTGAGTTATAAAGGAGCGGGGGGATATAGAGGAAGAGGTGAGTTATAAAGGAGCGGGGGGATATAGAGGAAGAGGTGAGTTATAAAGGAGCGGGGGGATATAGAGGAAGAGGTGAGTTATAAAGGAGCGGGGGGATATAGAGGAAGAGGTGAGTTATAAAGGAGCGGGGGGATATAGAGGAAGAGGTGAGTTATAAAGGAGCGGGGGGATATAGAGGAAGAGGTGAGTTATAAAGGAGCGGGGGGATATAGAGGAAGAGGTGAGTTATAAAGGAGCGGGGGGATATAGAGGAAGAGGTGAGTTATAAAGGAGCGGGGGGATATAGAGGAAGAGGTGAGTTATAAAGGAGCGGGGGGATATAGAGGAAGAGGTGAGTTATAAAGGAGCGGGGGGATATAGAGGAAGAGGTGAGTTATAAAGGAGCGGGGGGATATAGAGGAAGAGGTGAGTTATAAAGGAGCGGGGGGATATAGAGGAAGAGGTGAGTTATAAAGGAGCGGGGGGATATAGAGGAAGAGGTGAGTTATAAAGGAGCGGGGGGATATAGAGGAAGAGGTGAGTTATAAAGGAGCGGGGGGATATAGAGGAAGAGGTGAGTTATAAAGGAGCGGGGGGATATAGAGGAAGAGGTGAGTTATAAAGGAGCGGGGGGATATAGAGGAAGAGGTGAGTTATAAAGGAGCGGGGGGATATAGAGGAAGAGGTGAGTTATAAAGGAGCGGGGGGATATAGAGGAAGAGGTGAGTTATAAAGGAGCGGGGGGATATAGAGGAAGAGGTGAGTTATAAAGGAGCGGGGGGATATAGAGGAAGAGGTGAGTTATAAAGGAGCGGGGGGATATAGAGGAAGAGGTGAGTTATAAAGGAGCGGGGGGATATAGAGGAAGAGGTGAGTTATAAAGGAGCGGGGGGATATAGAGGAAGAGGTGAGTTATAAAGGAGCGGGGGGATATAGAGGAAGAGGTGAGTTATAAAGGAGCGGGGGGATATAGAGGAAGAGGTGAGTTATAAAGGAGCGGGGGGATATAGAGGAAGAGGTGAGTTATAAAGGAGCGGGGGGATATAGAGGAAGAGGTGAGTTATAAAGGAGCGGGGGGATATAGAGGAAGAGGTGAGTTATAAAGGAGCGGGGGGATATAGAGGAAGAGGTGAGTTATAAAGGAGCGGGGGGATATAGAGGAAGAGGTGAGTTATAAAGGAGCGGGGGGATATAGAGGAAGAGGTGAGTTATAAAGGAGCGGGGGGATATAGAGGAAGAGGTGAGTTATAAAGGAGCGGGGGGATATAGAGGAAGAGGTGAGTTATAAAGGAGCGGGGGGATATAGAGGAAGAGGTGAGTTATAAAGGAGCGGGGGGATATAGAGGAAGAGGTGAGTTATAAAGGAGCGGGGGGATATAGAGGAAGAGGTGAGTTATAAAGGAGCGGGGGGATATAGAGGAAGAGGTGAGTTATAAAGGAGCGGGGGGATATAGAGGAAGAGGTGAGTTATAAAGGAGCGGGGGGATATAGAGGAAGAGGTGAGTTATAAAGGAGCGGGGGGATATAGAGGAAGAGGTGAGTTATAAAGGAGCGGGGGGATATAGAGGAAGAGGTGAGTTATAAAGGAGCGGGGGGATATAGAGGAAGAGGTGAGTTATAAAGGAGCGGGGGGATATAGAGGAAGAGGTGAGTTATAAAGGAGCGGGGGGATATAGAGGAAGAGGTGAGTTATAAAGGAGCGGGGGGATATAGAGGAAGAGGTGAGTTATAAAGGAGCGGGGGGATATAGAGGAAGAGGTGAGTTATAAAGGAGCGGGGGGATATAGAGGAAGAGGTGAGTTATAAAGGAGCGGGGGGATATAGAGGAAGAGGTGAGTTATAAAGGAGCGGGGGGATATAGAGGAAGAGGTGAGTTATAAAGGAGCGGGGGGATATAGAGGAAGAGGTGAGTTATAAAGGAGCGGGGGGATATAGAGGAAGAGGTGAGTTATAAAGGAGCGGGGGGATATAGAGGAAGAGGTGAGTTATAAAGGAGCGGGGGGATATAGAGGAAGAGGTGAGTTATAAAGGAGCGGGGGGATATAGAGGAAGAGGTGAGTTATAAAGGAGCGGGGGGATATAGAGGAAGAGGTGAGTTATAAAGGAGCGGGGGGATATAGAGGAAGAGGTGAGTTATAAAGGAGCGGGGGGATATAGAGGAAGAGGTGAGTTATAAAGGAGCGGGGGGATATAGAGGAAGAGGTGAGTTATAAAGGAGCGGGGGGATATAGAGGAAGAGGTGAGTTATAAAGGAGCGGGGGGATATAGAGGAAGAGGTGAGTTATAAAGGAGCGGGGGGATATAATGGAAGAGGTGAGCTATAAAGGAGCAGGATGGGGATATAAATGAAGAGATGGGCTATAAAAGGAGCAGGGGGGTGATCTAAAGGAAGAGGTGGGTTACAAAGGAGCAGGGAGGATATATATAGAAAAAGATATATAAAATTTGGGGTGACATACACTTTAACAACCAAAAATAAAAATTATAACTCTTCAGATGCCTAATCTGTGTACGAACATCCCAACCCCCCCCTCTTCCAGTGCAACACCATAGACAGCGCCAACGTTATAATCACCATGCCAGATTAGTAGGGGAGGGGAATCCATTTTTAAAAAAAAATGTATTTACCATTTTAAGTCATAAGACTGTGTGTATACAGAGACATAAGTGTCATGTCTCTGTATACACACAGGTCCAGCGTACAGATCAAAAGATTTCCATAGGCATAGGTTCAGCACCATGGATAGCGCTGATATCATACTCTCCCATGCCAGGTTAGTAGCGGAGTTTGAGGTGGGGTGAGGGGGAGAATGGTAGCAGAGTTGGGGGGGCATTGCTGACATCATGCTCCCCTTGCCAGGTTGGTAGCAGAGGTGATCAGGGGTGCCAGGTCATTGCACCATGGACAGTGCTGACATCATGCTCCCCTTGCCAGGTTGGTAGCGGAGGTGATCAGGGGTGCCAGGTCATTGCACCATGGACAGTGCTGACATCATGCTCCCCTTGCCAGGTTGGTAGCGGAGGTGATCAGGGGTGCCAGGTCATTGCACCATGGACAGTGCTGGCATCATACTCCCCTTGCCAGGTTGGTAGCGGAGGGGGCGACATGTCAGGTCATATAAATACTTCACTCCCGTCTTCTTCCTGTTGGTATCACCGGGCCCTCTTGGCGTATCCCAGGAAACCTGAGGATCCAAATGTCACCAGAAGTGGGGTAGCAGATGATGTAGATGTTACACAATGTAAACATTAGACCATCCAAGTGATCACAATCATCCTAAACAGGGGCCCCGGTAATCTCAGAACTGATCACCAGGAACAGGGTCATGCTGGTGCAGGAATTCCCCCACCCCCATATAAACACATACACAGCCAATGCACATATAAACACACATGCGCACACACCCCCTTCCCGCATACACGCCATGCATGTATGTACACACACAAACTCAAGGGCACAACAGCTTCCCTACACAAGCTTTAGGCACATGGACACACAGTCCCCTACACACGCTTTAGGCACATGCACACACAGTCCCCCTACACACACTCCATGCACACATCCTCCTACCTGCCAGTGTTTGTGTGATCTCCGGGCACACTACACCGCTGGCCTCCCGCCGACCAATCACCGAGCAGTCGCGCCGCTGGCCAGCCAATCGGTGCGAGGGGAGGCCGGGTGACGTCACGCTCGCCCGGAAGTGGATGTGTGGCGGGAAACTTGTCAGAGAGGACGGCCATGGAGGAGGAGTATGAGCTGTACGGGATTGAGGATGACTATGAGGAGCAGTTCGCCTCCGAGCTGGAGGTTCTGGCCGAGCTGGAAGGTGAGAGGAGGAAGAGGGATGGGACGGGGACGTGTGGCCTTCTGGTGTAATGTATTGTCATGTGTATCATGGGGGGGGGAGTTAGGCTCCTGTCATATGTGTATGCTGGAGGAGGGCAGAGAGAGAGAGGTGTCAGCTGTCATATGTGTTATGTGTGCTGGAGGGGGGGAGAGAGAGAGAGGTGTGTGCTGGAGGGGGAGAGAGACACAGAGAGGTGTCAGCTGTCATATGTGTATACTGGAGGGGTAAGTGTCCTCACTTTGTATCCTCTGTGTGTGTTTTTTAGATGTGGAACCGTCTCGCCCCAAGCCGAGAGTATCGCAGTTCCGCAGTAAACTTACATTTGAAGAGGCGATCGCTGCTGGTGATCATGTGACCAGATCTGAGAGCGGCATAGAGAGCCGAGAGAGTAACGGTGACACCGGGAGGTCGAAGAATTATCTGCCGGGTGCTGCCATCTTGGATGTGATGTCAGCAGCCCCAGAGCTGTCATTCAAGTGACTTCATGGCATTCCCCTTGCAGAGGAACTGTGCCAGTATAGACAGTAATTATTCAATCTCAGAAGAAGAGAGGGCTAGAGCATGCAATGAGTGAGGGGACTGTGCTCGGGAACTCGCTCCTCCTGGAGCGCCCGAATTATCTAGCAGGTTCAGAGGCACATTGCAAGTGAATAAAAAAATAATTTTTAAAAAAGGAAATACACTGCATGTGAATATTTACAATGCTTCCTTTTTTGTGCTTTAACCTGTAGTTACTTTATGTTGGTGACAGGTCCTCTTTAATACAAAACACAGTAAGGCAGCTTTTGGGTTTAACTCATAACTAGCGCAGGAAAGGTCCACAAGGGGCAAGGCGATACAAAAATTCCCCAGGGCACCATGCAGTTAGCACAACACAACTGTTCTATATCAGTAGTAGGAAACCTCGGCGTTCCCGCTGTTGTAGAACTATTGCCGTATACATATACAAATTGGGAGCTCCATTAGATTAGAGTTAGGAGACCATTGAATATAGACACAGCAATAAAAGCCGGACAGAGGTTCTAACCCTCCACACCTTCTCCATGTTGACTTACAATTCTACCTTCCGATTCCCTTCCAATCCCTTGTGTTGCATTTTGTGTGTTCAATGGATGCTAATGCAAAGACACCAAAAAATGAACGGGGCTAGTTCACACCACTGTGTTGTGTTAACTGGTCCCATTCATTTTTTTTGGGTTATCTCCTGTTGGCATCTATTGAAAAACGGATAATCTGGTGTGAATGGGGCCTAAGTCTTCATAATGGTAGTAGAGAGTTACAGGAAGTGGATCCCACAGCTTTGACACTCTTCTTTCCCTTCTGTAGCTCCTAAACCGAAGCGGCCGAGAATCGATGCTGTTAAGAAATTAAATTTTGGATCGGATGATCACTCTGTGAATAGCTCGGCACTCAGCGATGATATTACTCCTCCGCTGTCTCCGGATTTCACAGACAAGAAGAATGAAAGGTAATTTGAGCTGAAGTACGGACCATTCAAAGGTGGCTCTGTTTTCAGTGATGGCAAGCTGCACGTCGATGATGTCATATCATATCCAACTTAAACATGGACAAAACTCACTGCGTTCCCACTTAGGACCGCCCCCCTCTAACATTTCACCTAGGGATGCCCAGATACCGGTTTTTCAATTACGAGTACCGAGATTTTTGTAATGATAATGACTTGCCGCCCGGCTTCCCGATTAGCCAGGAAGCCGTCTCCATGCTCCCTCCTCACCAGGTGAGGAGGAAGCATGGAGCTGGCCTTCTGGCCAATCAGGAAGCCTGGGGGGCCGGGTAATGACTCACCGCCCGGCTTTCTGATTGGCCAGCTTCCTGACCTATCGGGAACCTGAGCGACGAGTCATTACACCAAGTGACGAGGGAGCATGGAGCCAGCTTCCCGGCCAATCGGAAAGCTGGGGGGCAAATCATTACCCGCCCCCCGGCTTCCTAATTGCCTGGGAAGCCAGCTCCATGCTCCCTGGAGATAATGGAGCATGTAGCCAGCTTCCTGGCCAATCAGGAAGCCGGGCAGCGTGCAAAAACTCGCCACCCGGCTTTCTGATACCAGAAGTACGGGTATCGGGCTAGGCATCAGGAGCATTTGGGAATGGACGAGTAGTCGGCCAAATATTCGGTATCGGTGCATCCCTAATTTCACCTATTACAGGCTGTCATCAGTCAAGCCCGAATCGAGTGAAACTTTATAGAGGGGGCTGTTCTAGCCAGGACTGCAGTTTGCTATGTCCCAGTTTAATAAAGTTGGATAAATTGTGACATCATTGGTGTGCGACTTCTTGTTTCCTACTATGTCCAGTGCTTATGTTTACATGCACTCCTGTCAGATGTTTTGCTTATGGTTGGTCACATGGTATTTATTAAATTCATGGTCACCCCAACTTCTGTTTCCTTCCAGTAGAAGGGAAAAGTTCCAGAGCTGCCCTGCTCTTGAGGTCAGTGACATGGCCCCTCTCCAAGTCACGCCAAGCAAATCCGAGCAGAAACGCGTACTCACACGGCCTCCCATATTGGAAGAATATATTCATGTGACGTCCAGTGATGGTAGCAGAGTTTACATGGCCCTGAGGGATGACCAGGATAGGACAGGAACTGTGGTAAGACCGGGTTCTTGTCCTGGACTTAAATTCAGCTCTTTTTAGATCTGATATTTACATTTAAAATTGCAGATTTGCTCATTCAGATGGGCATGCATGCAAGTACAACGTGCATGCCCGTAAAAAGACCTGCTTGTTTTTGTTTAGGTGCAAAAAAAATAGTTATACTCACCTGAACCACAGGGCTGGCTCCCTGTGTCTCCGGTCTCAGAAGCCTGTCTTTCCTACACTGCAGCATTGGAATGTTCCTCAGTGTCCTCGCGTCTATACACTGTTCATGGAGCAAAATGATTTAAAGGGACCTTAGACTTCTGCAGAGGAGGGGCAGAGAGGCTGGAAGGACCAGTCTCAGAACCAGCCAGCTCCATGGTTCTGGTGAGTATAACCTGAACCATGCAGGGTAGTCTCCCTGCAAGAGTTAATAAGAGTTTTGCGCAGACTTTAAATCTCCCCGGCTACGTTCTAATATTTAAATATGGAGAGTCCAGTTGGCTCTTGGAAACATTGCTTGGCTTGTAATGGCCATAACAGTGAAGATATCTGCTCAATGGAATTTATGAAAGATCTAAGAGTATTCGATTGAACTTTCCAGCAACCCCACAACTGTAACAATTTTTATATTTATACGTTTTTATTGTTTTACACTTTAATTTCTTAGGACATCGCAAAGCAGGGGGGCCTTAGCTGGAGAGGTGACCAGCAATTACATCTTCTTGGAGTTCCCATCTCCTACCTGAAGGAACAGGTGGCAGATGAGGTAATGGTTGTGTGTGTTTATCTTGTATGTCCTTGCTAAATGTTGAGCTTTGTAGACGATCTTTCCTTACTACCGTAATACATAATTGTCTACAGTCCACGCCTTGCTGCGCTGACGTGGTACCAGGCAAACAGGAGGGCACCCTGGACAGAGTAGGATTGGAACATAAAACACTATTATGCCTCCATCTTTGGAATAACACAGTTCTTTTACTGCAGCCCTTACCCACCATTCATAAACATCAGACATTGTTCATATATTAATGGCTGTGTAGTGCTCGTAATTGTACCTGATTTTTGTGCCTAAGCCACACCACCCTCCAGGATTTCCTTTCATATATACTTAAATTTGTCTTCCAGCGTCGACGGCAGGTGTTAGAAGAGTCTCAGCGGCTCACAGACATGTTGAACAGGTGAGTAGAGGACGGACAGCGACTGTCAAAGTGAGTTTAAAATAGAACTGTCACTGGAAAAAGTACAAGAGTTATGTTTTGGCAGATTACAGTGCATTTGGTTCCTTAGACTTCAATGGGAAACGCATGTTTCAAGCGTTTTTGTTGCACAAAAGTAGCTTGTGTACTTTTTGCAGCAACAGGCCAACATTTTAAAAGCGTTGGCTGTTTTTACCATACAGAACCTTTCAAATAAACTATCACTTTGGACTCTATAAAATTGTGGTGCCTTACTCTACTTTTTTCCATGCCATGTTCCTGAACAGCTTTAAATATGTGACAGATGAAATCAAACTATGTCAAACACCACCAAAATGGGGAAATCCTTTTTGGATAGAGTATTTAATCAATTTTATTAGCTTACTTAAAGGATGAGTGCACTTGAAAAAAAAAAAAAAGGTAGACTTGTACTTATTGCCCTGACCAAATCTAACTCGCCCTCCCTCTCCTTAAATGCATAATTACCTTGATCCGATTCCACTGGTTGTTTACATCCAGCATGGCAAATCTTCACTGCCCTGACCACGTCTGTACATTACAGCCCAATAGACTTCTATAGGATTGTCTCTGATCATCTTCGGCCCTTGGAAGTCTACGGGGCACCAATGCGCAGGGAAAGCCATGACGGCACGATGCACAGCTGATTTTATGCATCAAAATTGTGTGTGCTGGATCCAGGTAATTTTGTATCTGTGGGGGGTGGTTAGGTTAGCTCAGGGGCAAAAAGGATACATGCACTTTAAAAGGGTAAATAGAAGCCATAAGTGACAGCGTATTGCTATGTTTGCAAATGATGCTGTAACTGTGATTGTTGTGTTTCCAAAGTCAAATGAACGAATTTGATGAGGCAGAAAGTGAAGCTTTAGAGTTCGGCGACGACGAAGAGGAGGATGAGGTATCTGCACATAACCTATGGGTGGACAAATATACCCCAAAGTGCTACACGGAACTGCTCAGTGATGATGTAAGCATTTTCTCAGTCAGGTCAGATGGGGAATGACGTTTCTTTTTTCTCCAAATTGAATTGGTAGAGTATTGTAGCGTGTTAGTCAGTAAAGGATACTACCTAAACTCCAATCTTTCTGTACTTGATGATGGCTAACTTATTAAACATGCAAGCTTCCAAGATTCCTTCCTCAGGGATGACTAAGAGTTCTAAGAAATCCTGAAAGCTTGTATGTTTAATAATCTTAGACAGCCAATAAAGGGTATCACTTAAACTCCAAATTGTATTGCTCCAAATTGGAGCATTGTACTTTGAGTTATAAAACTTTATGCATACATTTTATCAGCGAGGTCACTGGTAATAAGTATGACATCTCAAAGTAAAGTGGGATTCCAGGCAAACAGCTGCAGTAAATCTATGATTAAAACACTTGTATTTTTACTCTTTCTAAAGGTAGCCATACACTTTACAACCCTCGCAAGACTTTTGTCTTGCGAGGGTTGTAAAGTAATTTTAAAAAACGTACGATCTGCCCATCTTGGACGGGCAGATCGTACCTGCGTTCATCGCAAGCCCGCCCCCCTGAGGGGCGGGCTTCCGATGACTGCAATGCTGAACGGGCAGTGTGCGTGTGCGTGTGCCCGTTCAGCAGTCATCTCTCGATCATGTTAAAAACCAGCCGAAAATCGTACGATTCTCGGCTGGTTTTCCAACATGCTCGAAATACAAAAGTTGTGCGACCTTACATTAGAAACGGTCGCACACCTTCCATACACTGCACGATTATTGTACGATCGCGGGATTTCCTGCGATTCTCGTACCAGAATCGTGCAGTTGTATGGGCACCTTAAGGATTTGTCGTTTTATATATATTTCAATTGTGTGTATATACCGGTTTGCTTGGACCTTCATAGTTTTACCCTTTATGTGCTTGTAAATATAACTAATGTCACACTAAACTCAGACGTTGAACCTTAATGTATTCAAGTACCCAAACTATTAACAATAATGTATCTTATTTGTGTATCACTCGGCTGTAGATCCTCCAATCATCTCTGAATTGGTGCTGACACTGTGCTTCCTTCTGGAGAAAGGGTATCTTAAATTATTACTTTTGTTCCCCATGTGTGTGTGTTTTGTAAAGTAGTCACAGCTCCAAGCTCGCTTCCGTGATAGACTATAACTTCACTACAAATGAGTAAACTAAACATGAGATTGTAGTCCATCACAAGAGTGAGCTTAGAGCAGTGACAACCAAAGTATGTTTAATCATTTAAGATACCCTTTCTCCAGAATGAAGACCATTGTCCATACCAATTCAGACATTATTTGAGGATCTACAGCTGAGTACAGTTTTGGTAATAGTTAGGGTACTTGAATGCATTTTTAAGATTTAACTCCTGAGTTTAGTGTCACTTTAAACATAGGTATAGAAAAAGTGTGGTTGCTTCAAAGACAGAAGAAAGAGTGTTAGAGGAGGAATATACAAGAGATTGGGGAGGATGAAAGAGAGACTAAGGTTTTTTTTTCTTCTCTCAAATACCCTCAATTCAGAACCATGACATTGCCCTACCCCTCCCTTTTTTAATCTTTTTTTTTTCTTTCCTTCCTTAGAATAAAGTTCCCCCATATATTTCCCCCCATATATTTTCTACATCTACAAAGGTTTGCAGTCATTCAGGTCATGGGCTATCAGGTGGTAGTAAAACAAAATCAACTGGATTTGCTGATTATTTTTGAAAATGCTTCACCGCTAGTCTGACCGTCACCTTCAGCTCAACATAGTAATGGGATTATGGTGATTAGATTACACAAACAGATTTCAAATGCCAGGGAATTCCCTCCGTTCAGATGAACTGAACAAGTTACCTAGGGGAGTGGTACAAAGAATAATCAGCAAGTTCACCTGGATGACTGAAAAATGTCATAGTTTCATCAAAGACTAGTAAAGGGAATCAATACTCTTATTGTAATATAAATCTACAAGAAAAATAGATGGGCTGACAGGTTGTTTTTTTCTGGGTTTCCTTTTACTTTTTCTGGGGAAAATACTTCTAGCTCCCTTTTAGCACTGGTCACGGTCTGTCTGAAGGGCTTGAAAATTGGTCACATGATCTCTGCTGAAGTAAAAGACCGAGCCATGTAAACCTTAAAGCCCAATTTAAAGTTTAATCTCTAAGTCTATAGTTAAGAATTCAGAAACTGATTTTCTTAATGCCTTTTTGTTTTCTTTATTTCAGCTCCAGCGCTAGTAGGAAACTCTCAGCCCCAGTATTTGTCTGCAGATAAAACCTGCTGCTGTCTGTGTGAAAGGTGCGGCCTGTGTGCAGCAATCCAACATGCGCCCTGCATAGTCACAAATATACTTCTGTAATTAGCAACACTCACACTTTCTGAGTTCAAGGCAGCGGCTGTGTTGGACTACTGCTTTCATTCAGAGAGCAGTGGTCTTTATTTGCAGCCAAATGCCAGAGGTCAGGATTTTCTAATGGCTCTGGAGCTGAATTAAAAAACAAAAACAAAAGTAAGACCTTTAGAACATTGTGGGTTTTTTTTGTTTTGTTTTACTGCATCCCTGATTTAACTATAGACAGGCTAGCCATGCATGCTTAGCGTCCGTTAATTCAGCCTCTGGGCTCATTGAGTCTCAGGGAGAAAACAAAGAAGTCCCTCTAGGCCTTCATTCATGTAGCCAACACTGGAGGGAGCCTGAAGCAGCATTTTCTCTAAGAAAGGTAAATATTTTAGCATTTCTGTTCAATTATTTTTATCAATCCTTAAAAGATTATGATAAAAAATACTGTACTTTCAAAACTGTGAATATAGCTTTATTGTTTTTAAACTCTATAATTGGTTGGCTTTTTTTTTTCCCCCTCCCTCTTGGTTCAGTATACAAATCGTTGCCTGTTGAAATGGCTAAAACTCTGGGATACGGTGGTGTTTGGGAAGGAGAAGGCCGCAAAGAAGGCCAAACCAAGCACAGAGCAGAAATCAAACTTCAGATCACAGAAGGAGCAGCAGAGCAAGTGGAAGACCAAAGCCCAGATCACAGAGGAGATTCTGGAAGCAGAGCTAGATCAGCAAAACAGGCCTAAATACAAGGTAACTGGATAATGAAAGGTTGTCTTTACCAATCCATGCATCTGAATCTGCAGAATTCCTGTACAGAGCAGCAGACATCAACCTACCATAACAATTACTATTACAGTGAGTTGTCAATGATTTATTATACGCAAGTCTTCTTTTACCCGCTATTGTTAACTTATTGCCATAGAGGAACGTTGTCTGCATCCCTCCTTTAGCTGCAAAGTTACTAAATCTTGCGAGAGTCATTCAGAAGCTTCCTAGCAGCCAACATCAATTGCATAAAGCTGACCACGTGCCTTGTGCTATGGCATTGATTACAATTCTTTTGGGGGCCCCTTCATCAGGGTTATTGTACTGGCAGAAAGTGAAAAGAAGCATTTCTCCAATAGGACAAAAACAGGTTTTGGCTTTAGATATACTTAAACTGTAAACTTGGAAACCCATCAGAAAGCCAAACAGCAGCTGGTCCTTTACCTCTGAGCTTGTCAGTAGCCTCTGTTACACAGAAGATGAAGACCGTGTCTGAATGGATTGCCTTTCAGCAAAAGTCACAAAACATAGGCGTTTAGGAATATATGGATGAAGACCTAGTAGATGCAGACTTGTGTTGATTTGTAAAATGCATAATGCTTGTTTCTGAAATGTTCAATATATTTCTTCCAAGGTTGCATTGCTTACAGGTCCTCCTGGTCTTGGGAAAACAACCCTGGCTCATGTAATAGCAAAGCATGCAGGGTACAATGTTGTGGAAATGAATGCCAGGTAAGTAAGCATATCAATTGCTCTTGCTCCTTCCAAGTATTGTGATTTTCCTGTCTTCATTAACATAATCCGTCAACTTACTGCCTCCTAAATCACAGTCATTGCTTTAAAAAAGAACTATAGTCCAAACTTTTTTTTGGCTTTTAGTTCTCTTTTGGGTCAAAGGCCAAAAGAGAACTAAAGTGGGCTACTGTCCGCTATATGCTGACAGCGCAGAACCGCGCTGTAGCCGGGAAAGATCCCGACAATATTGTCAGGATCCACCCGTCTGCCTCTCTAGAGCCAGAACCAGCTGTGCCTGCGCCCTCCCCTGTCTGTCCATCCAATGAGCGCTGGAGGTACAGAAAAGGGGGGAAAGGGGAATCCCTGCAGAGAGCAGTGGCTGACAGCCACTGCTCTCTGCAGAAAGAAGCCATGAGCTGAGTGATGAGCGTTTTGTGATCGTTCACTTCTCGAGCTATAGAGCCAGCATGTGACAGCTGCAGTGTCCCAAGCTGGCTCTAAGTTTTGGGATGAGAACATTTTACTCTCCCAATAGTTCTCCTTTAAAGAGTTAGTCTGCCCAGACATGATATTCCATCCCTAGGTGGGTGCATTTCAGTTAATTCACAGAACGTCTGACACCTCTCAAACATTTGGCTTCTGTGTCACCTGCTGCCAAAAGAACTATGCACCTGACCTTGCTCCACCCACTGACTCCAGCTTTTGTTGCAACCCATTCTATCTTCCTATATAGCCAAGAGATAGAGCCATGAATTCTGACAGTGAGGTTTTAGTGCCAGAATGGCCAAGAGATGTATAGAGCTGGTATGGTTTATCCTCCACTGTCCGTGAAAAACTAAAATATCACATTAGGGTTGAAAATCTTTATTTTTTTATGTTTTGTTACTAAGTCCTATCTTGTAATTTATCAGCTCAAATGTTCCTTTTAGCCTTGTCCACTAAAAAACTTATGGACACCTCGAAAATGATAAGTTGTTGGGTCTCAAGTGAAACACACTTTAAACATATTTAATCTGATCCTCAAGTATAAAACACACCAATGAATGGTTTAATATATACACTTGGGAGTAATTTAATGTATTTTTTGAATGCAGCTATTGTAAGTAACTGAAACCATCTGCATATCTGCTCCCTGTAATCCCTAACACAGGACCAGCTCAGATTGGAGAGGAAGGGTTAGTACTCCCAGCCATCGGGTTCTGTAGCTGTGCACATGTACTGGAGGATGAGCAGAGGGATGGCCACATCGGTGCGCTGCTGCTTATTCATTGTCCAGTCAGCAACATAGGGGTGTGTCCTTTTCTAGCTGTAGTGCTTTAGCAGCAGACCTTTCTGTGCTGTCTGACAGGCCAGCACAATAACAGGCCCTTTGATAAATAGTTCCCATGTATGTATTTCAGATGAGTATTTAGCGGTTACCTGGAGTTCAGTGTAAAGCTGGCCATACACCTTGCAATCATCGGACGGAAATTTTCGTCCGATGATCAAACCGGCGTACGATTTACGTACGGCGGGCCTATCCAGCCCCGATTATTGCAAGGTTGGATCAGCAGTAAATAAAACAAAGCACCTGGACGAATTGCGGTAATCGTCTGCGCATGTGCAGTGTAAATCGTACGAATTTGGATGTACGGAAACACCACCAACCTTGCGAAAATCGTACGATCCACCAAAGTTTTCTAACCTGCTGTTTAGTCAAAAGTCGATGGATTGTACAGTATTTGCGGTTGTACACTGCCCATCAACCTTATAAATATCGGACGAAAATGCGATCGCATACGAAAATCGGCCGATATTCATAAGGTGTGTATGGGTACCTTTTAGAAATGAATCATCCCAGCATTCTCACTTGATGCATTACTAATTGTTCTGTGTTGTTTCAGCAACAGCTTAATATTACTACTTGTATGCCTGTGACCAGAAAGATAACCTTTTTCTTTAATTTGCCAGTGATGACCGCAGTCCAGAAGTCTTCAGGACGCGTATAGAAGCTGCTACTCAAATGAAGTCTGTTCTGGGAGTGGATGAGCGACCCAACTGCCTAGTTATCGATGAAATTGATGGTGCACCAACTGTAAGTAATGGCAGATCCTGTGACCTGTAAGGAGAGACAGCCTTGAATGCTGGAATCATGCAGTGAGGATGTGGTCAGTAAAGTGGACCACTTCTGTATAAGGGGGCATAATCAATTATTAATTGGGGGATAGCTTACAAAGGCGGAGACAAGTAAAGTGTTATAAGTGGGAGGAAGTGGGCTTGCTGGACTCTTGGGAGTTGACCATCAAGCTGAACATCCCCGCCCACCCTCCCCTAATAATTATTTTATAACTTGTCCCAGTTTTGTTGGCATATTTTTGACCTTGCCAGCTTAATCGGTTACCCCGTTAACTTTGCTGAAATTCTTTGATGGTTGGACATCTATCTAGAACTGATGGTGAAGACAGATTTTCTGCATTGTGTTATAAAGATATGATGTTTGGGTGCTCACGGTTTATCCGTGACTGGCACGATTTAATAATAAGTCAATAAAGCTGTGGCCTTGCCCTTCCAGCAAAGTTATTTTGTCTTGTATTCATTGGCGGTGGGAGGGCAAAGGTAACAAAAGTATTTTCAACGTAAAAGAAGTGTTTAACTATGATTCTCATCAGTCAAGGGACAGCGGCCTCATTTATAAAAAAAGCAGTATCGTATAATCAGCCGTTGGTGTATTCGTTTTCTGGGTAGAACATCTAGTTCTTCCTCTTTGTGAATGATCACAGAGAGTGAGAGCAGATGCCAAGATCTTGTTATGTTTGGTACAAAAGTGGATTGGGAAAGTCTGGGATAACTACTGACATTGTTTAGTCAACAATTTCTTTTTAATGAGTTTTATTATTTGATTTGCAGTAGCCAGGGAAATGTTGATCTGCATTTTTGCACGGGAGTCTGTGCAGGTTCAGAAAATAGGAAGACTGGCAGGCATAACTATACAAAGGATAGCACTCTGCATACGATAGAATGATTTAAGGAAAATTGGAACAGCAGTTAGGGCTGTGCCCCCTTGACTTAAGTTTAAATGCAAAAGTGTCATACCTGATTGGCATGCCCCTCTAATCATATGTAGTTTTGATCAGTGAACTAAGATGGACACGTGCAAGAGCAACCCAGGAAAAACAGGGTTTTTAGCTAAACTCTCCCCTTAACAAAGGTTTTAGGGGTAACAGTCCTGAAAGTTTGACTGTTTTTGAAGTTGGCTTGGCTCTTACAGTCCCTGATGTACAGAAAAATGTAAACATGCATCATGCCTGTGCGGATTCTCCTCCCTGCCTGTCACTGCAGGCAAGTCATACTAAAATATATAAAAGTTGGCAATCCTTGTTCCCTACTTATATGACTTTCGACATGCATTAAGTAAATTGTCTGCAGTATATGGAATGAGCTACTAGAGATGATGGGGATACTAGAACTTGCATAGTCCCCCTCCATCATATCCCAAGAGAACAACCATGACTCCTATGCCAGCAACTAATTGTTCTGGTTGTTGAGTCTCCAAATGGAACTAATTTGCATACCCCTTACTTTATCAGCTCAGACCTGCTTAGTCCAAATCTATACTACAACATATTACATTCGTATGGTTATACAAATGCATATTGCTTTTCTGGCTAAATCAAGTTATTTGTTATTTGTGTTGTATGTTGTTGGGTTTTAGCCATCTTTTATGTTTTTTTGTTTGTTTAGGTATCTATTAACATGCTGCTCAGCTTAGTAAACAGAAAAGATGGGAAAGACCGAGACTCTGTTACCGAAGGTGCAGTAACAAAGAAGAAAAAGAAAGAAGGCGGTTTGCTGCTTAGGCCCATCATCTGTATTTGCAATGACCAGTAAGTCATGATCTTAGTTATTTAAACATATATAATAAAATAGCTTTTTCGGTGGGGTTATGTATCTGGTAGGTGTACAGACAAGCAGTGGAGGAGAGGGCCTATATAATAAGGTACAAAATAATGTGTGCTAATTTATAAATTCCCCCCCCCCCCCCCCTGCAAGTCAGAACTAATGCAGCACCAATATGAAAGCAAGCCACAATAATCATGTGTCTGTTCTAAAGCACAGAAATACATATGCAGTCAGGTAATTTATTTTTAGGATCTTTGATTGCTTCACATCTTCCCCCTGCTTCTTAATTATGATCATGAGCCACCAGATTACCAGTCATCAATGGGAGGCAGCTCTGACGTGGTAGCAAAGCCTGTCTCTACTAAACTGGCTGCCTCTGCGCACGGAAACGTTGCAGAATAATTGCTCGTTCAGACAGGCATGCGTGTTCGTACCGCATTCACGCCCGTAAAATGACCTGATCCCGGAAGGGACAGGTGCTGCGTCTACCCAGCAGCTTGTTCTTCCCTGGGGAGGACGCGGCTGTGTGCAATTACACAGGTTCAAATGCCCATCCATGAAGGTTTGAGTGCCGGCACTTGGACACAGACACCGTGCGTCCAAGACAGTTCCTGTCCTTTCCAAACATGATCATTTTACGGGCCTGCATGCCCATCTGAATGAACCCTAAGCCCTCATTCACACGAGTAACAGCCGGACCGTACAGATCCGTGATACGTGCACGGCCGTATCTGGCCGCTCCCGGGAAGGACAGGTGCTGTGTGTTATTACACGCAGCAGTCTGTTCTTTTCTATGGAAGTACGCCCCCCTAAGCTCACCCGAACTGCACGTTCGTGCGGGCATACTCTGACAGAATGGATCCTGTCTGCGTCCGAGCAGGGACAGCCGCACCCGTACGGACGTGCAGCGTAGGGCGGCGTAAGGCCACGTACTCCCATAATCACACGCAGCACCTGTCCTTCCCGGGAGCGGCCCGATACGGATGTGCACGGAGCTGTACGGGCCAGCTGTTACTCGTGTGAAATGAGGGCTAAGGCGTAATAAGTCTGTAATGGGAAAAGGATCAGCTGCAGGGAGCCAGCAGTCAATAATGGTGATTAACGCTCTGCTTGGTGTTTTTTTCGGACACCATTCAGGTCCTTTTTAAACACCAAAAGATTTTGTTTTTGTTCAAGGTTCTTAACTCAAGTCTAGCTTCATTTCTGTTTCTTTCATATGGGTTCATGGAACACACAGTATGGATTAATAGAGAGCCTACCCTGTCTGGTCCTTTGCTGTATAAAAAATGTTTTATTCACTTTAAAGGTAGCTGTTAGGTCTTGTCCCCTCCGCTGTTTAGCTGATTTTCAAACCTCCACAAGTGCTCTTCGCCCCCTTTTCTCTCCTGTACAGGTACGTCCCGTCACTGCGCCAGTTGAGGCAGCAAGCCTTCGTGCTGAATTTCCCTCAAACGTTGCCTTCCAGGCTGGTACAAAGGTTATATGAGGTCAGTGAAGACTCATCTGGAAAAATTTATATATTGTCTGTAGTTCAGAATAGTATTAAAAAAAATCCCAGCAGCTTTATTGTATAGAAAATTTAAAGTGACCCTACAGCCACTGTAAACAAAAGCAACAGACAACATAGTACATTCCTTACCTCTAGGTGCATGCATTTGCCTTTTGCTTTCTTGTAGACCTGCCCGAATAAACAGGGGCATTGTAGCATATATTCATAAACCTAAGGATGTAAAACCAGCCAGTACTGTATTCTACAAAAATATGAACATTTTAACTGAACGGCACGTCTTTGATCTGAAACAAATACTTATTTATAATCAACAGATGTCCTCTGGAAATAACAGGGATTACCAGATCAGAGCAGACAAACTCTAATTGGCAGTTCCATCCAAAGTGGGTGGCAGGATCGTGTGCGCATATTTGCTTCTTTTTATATCTAGCTCTCCTACGCTAGAATACACAGCTGTTTTGCTAAGGATTTTTATCCTGTGTGGAGTTCTCCTTTAAACCTGTGCGGGGGATTATGTACTGTATCTGGCCTCATTAACCTGCAGTTGCTGTTTTACCTGTCAGGAAGACTTTAGCTTAATGAGCTTGTCCCAGAACTCGGCTGAGGAGTTAGACTATAAAAGGCACGGCCGTTGTCTCTGGCGCTCTTCTGCGCACACAGCTGGTACAGGGAGCAGCTGGGCCTTGTGCCTCTAAATGGCATATTGACACTGTCACGACTGGATGAACCGGCGGTGTATCTAGGTTACATGGAGTCACAAGGGAGGCCCTCGCTAATGAACTGCTCTGCTCTTTGTGTTGATCCTACGTGCGGTAAATTATCCCTGCCAAGGAGCTGCGGTGCCCTCAATCATTTGCCTACAGAGGGAAAGCGATCCCAGCAAACAATAAAGCATGTGAAGATTCAGTACATGAAAAATGTGGTACGCCTTGTTTACCTTGGGTAAAAGGAGAGTGAAAAAGACACGTGCCCATCCAGTCAGTCTCTCACACACTCTAGCCAGTATCTGTCCAGAGCAAGCCAGTGTGTCTGACATGAAAATAGATAGGATCTAAGTTTTCATTTTTCCACTGGCACGTTTGTCAGAACACAAACAGTCCTGATTTCACGCACTTTTAGTGAAACCCGTACAAATGTTTATACAGCGCAAAATATTGTAAAATAAGCGCATCATTAAAATGTGCACTTTGCATGAAACACTAGCAGATTGCATTGGTTTGGATGAAAAGCCATCTCATGTTTTTGAATAAGAATTTGCCATGCATGATATCCCTCATATGACCCTAAGCCTAGGCGCAAATATCAAATGGGCTCTGGCTGCCAGGAGCATTGTGGGTGGTTTTCAGATCATTGGAGACTGTAGAGATACTATTGTGTTTTAATAAGGCACTCATAACGCAGCATATACAGTGCATTGTAGTACATTGCATGATCAAATGTGGGTTACTGTTCAAGGAATCCAGCTTTTAAGAAGTGATGTATGCCAGTTCAATAAGTCGTGTGACTCCTGCCAGCACATGGCCTCGTTTGTACTCCCCTGTTGTGTTTCCGCAGATCACCATTAGGCAGAGCATGAAAGCTGACACTGGGGCATTGATGGCTTTGTGCGAGAAGACCGAGAACGATATCCGCTCCTGCATTAATACATTACAGGTATGTTCAACATCCTGCGTTCATATGTCACCATACCATAGTTCACTTGTTGGATGATTGCATCACACATATGTAGGGATGTTCAGATACCAAGTACCATACTCTGTACAAGTGCATGTACAGATACTTTTCCAGCTCCAGGACTAGACCAGAGAAAAATTCAAAAGTTAGGAGGCTGCTGTCATTTATAAGGAGCACACAGAGCTCCTGGGATTCGTACATCCCCATTTTCATGCATTGGTTTTTTTTTTTATAAATATATATGTGATGGTACCATTTTTACAAGTACTGATACTTGCACAAGTACTCACAGTTACAAGTACTGATACATTTTTTGTTTATTGTCATGTGACAGTTTTTCTTAAACAATACAGACTAATGATTTCCGGCCAGTGGTGGAGAGCCAGGGCCAGGTCCCAGCTGCAACCGCTGCAACCCTGGTAGTTCTCATGAAAATGCCAAGTATCGGCACTGGTATCCGGACATCACTACACATATGTTGTTACCATCCCAAGTGTAACAGAAACTAACAGTGTGCCCCATTGTGTCTGTACTTTGAAAGCCTAATCTAAAATTGTGGTGTTTATATGAAGGACATTTTTGGGGAGAGAAATATAAAGGCTGCCATTGCTGCCCTTTCCTTCTGAAATTGCTAGCTACTTGCTTGCCATTCTGGAGGGGCTCCTAAAACATTTAATAATATTATACAATATTATATAGTACCAGCAGTTTGCATAGTGCTTTACATCATATGGGGAGACAATATATTTACAATACTGTCAGAATGTTTATACTGCTCTGATAAACCGTTTTCTATTTATGAAAACAAGCAAGGATCTGTAATTAAGGAGATTCCCAACTTATTTCCATAAATTAAAATTAACACGAGTTCTTTTATTTGCGCTAATTTGAAGACAAGATGAATACCCTTGTATACAAAATACATATATTTATTGATTAAAAATCAGTGCAGAATAATAATAAAAATATAATTGGTGACAAACAAAGAATAAGGATCAAATAATTTCAATCAATTTGATAAGACAGGTAATGTGTAAAATGATTACCACAGGATATTATTCAAAATAATATATAACTTATATATATACATAATGTATAACTTTTTTAATGCAATGGGTTGCTTCTCAGTATCTCACAGAATAATAAAACAAAAGGTTCAGAATTGACATGTGACTTCTTCCAGCAACAGATATTCACAAACTCAAACTTTTAACAGCGCATGGGCAAAAAAAAAAATCTTTAAAACATTCCGGGCTCTTGTCCATTGTCCTCAATAGAGGCATGAAAGTCATCAATCTTAACCTACATGGGCTGGCACCATCCTTATCTTATGCACATCTTGAGACCCCCACAATTTACGACCTGAGAATGTTTATGCTAAAATTTCTAACTTCTTCTCTGTGAGAGTCTTTGTCTCAGAAAGAATAAACTCGCATTGACCTTCTATCAAGCAGACAAAATGGCTACCATGACGCCCATATACAAATCTGTAAAATAATATGTATAGGCCTTTGAAATTGATTCCTTTCTGCCAAATAGTTCTGACAATACCACACAAAAGGATTAGAAGATCCTGCTTGTGAGAGCTCACAATCTGCATATTTGTCGTTTGTGCTCATCCTACTTTCTGAGAGACCGTGAGTGCAGAAAGAGGTTTCTTTTTATTAATAAAAGTATATTGAGGTTGCCTTTTATGGTCATTTCAGACGTGGTGCTTAGCAGAGGGCTTATTTAGACCAATATGTGAATATTAATTGTCATGCTATAACCTGTGCTTTGTCAGTTTTTGCGCGGCCGAGGGAAGAAAGAGCTGAACGTGCGAACAGTCCAGACTATGAAGGTTGGACTAAAAGACCAAAATAAGAGCCTTTTCTATGTGTGGCAGGAGATCTTCCAACTCCCCAAAGTCCAGAGGTAAGGCAACGTCTAGGTAAAGGGATCATATGATGTTCTATTATATACCTAATAAAATTATTTTTAATTGGCAAGTCTATGCCAACAGTTTGCTCTTACAACTGGTTCAGAGGAGGGAACCCGCCCTTAATGGGAATGCCTTAGTTGGTCTGGATTGGATGGTAAAAAATGTGCAAGCAGTGATGGGCTTTCTGTCAGAAAGATCATTGTGCACTGTCAGGGAGACATCTTTTAGGGCCCATTCACACTAGCTGCACAGCAAAACCCAGTGTTTTACTGTGCGGCTAGTGTCCACTGAAGTGACAGCGGTGAGCCGCGGTGCCTCGTATTGTCACAATTCAAGGTACTGTTCACTTTTTTTTTTTTACTTTTTATTTGGAGTCTACACACTGCACTTGTTTAGGTCCCGGCACTGCTGAACAATTGCACCATGTCTGCACTTTTTCGCAGCACGCCGCATCGCAGACCACACTTCACCTCCGTTGCAGTGTGAATGTGGCACATACAAAGCAATTGTGTGCCCTTGTGTAGAGCTCCATTTTTCTGCTGCACAAGTGTGAACAGGTCTTTAATAAATGGGAATAAATATTTTGCATTAATGATCTGAAACATGCTTCAAGCTGATCAAAGTCATAGGAGATAGCACGCAAGCTCCCATTGGTGTAAAATCGGGTAATATTTGTAAGGCTGATTTATAATGTGTTTTTTTTTTTTTTTTTTTTTTTTTTCTTTCCTTTTTCTGAAAGAAAACGTATCGGCCAAGACATGGCAGCACAGGACCTCTACCTTCTTCTTGGAAACACAAATGACCCTCTGAACCTGATGGGCAGGACACCACTGAGTGCCATGGCGCACAGGTTCCACCATATTTTACACCTGACCACTGCAACGGGGGAGTATGAGAAGCTGACTATGGTAAGTGGGGCTTCATCTTGCCAGTGGCTTTTTGTCTCCACAGTTAATAATGAAAAACTGTAGCCACTCTACCTGTGCGGATGGGTTATTAAAGGAAGAATTAACATCAGGATCACTTGCATCCTAGGCAGCCTAAAAAATGACCCACATGTGAATCCTCAGCACTGCCATCTTAGTAGTGTATTGAAAGCGGATGTAAGGTGACGATCTGCTTTCTCCCTTCTTGCTCACCTTGTCTGCTTGGCCACAATAAGTGATGGGCAACCTCAAGAATCTCCAAGGCCTGACCTACAGACTAGCACTAAATGAGAGGAACCATCAGACACCACCATTGTGCAGCTCTTAGTGAGAAGTAAAGTGTGTGTGTGTGTGTGTGTGTGTGTGTGTCCACCTATCTACACACACTGAGTTGTATTTTATTTCAATGAATTGTGGTTCAAGAGAATATCCAATGCATTCATAAAATCTGTGTGACTTTGTATGAAACATTGCTTGCATAGTTTAGAATGTATTGCCTTTAAACCCCTCAAGAGTTGGGATTTAAGTAAATTGTAAAATGTTATTTATATATGTTTAGAAACAAGATTTTGAAATGCAAAAACAATAATTGGGAAGATGATACATTTTATTAAAAGAGAACTATGGGGGTTAGTGTTTTTCCCCATAGTTCTCTTTAGGGTCACGGGAGGACATATACTAACCTCCGAAGACAGAAAGCTCAGTATATTTCAGGCTATTGCTCGCTATACACTGAGAGCACCGCAGCCGGGACAGATCCTGACAATACTGTCAAGATCCACCCAGCTGCGCGAGTGACAGCTGTCTCTGGCTATCTATAGACAGAGCTAGCTGTGCCCGCCCCCTCCCTGTTCGTTCCTCCCCTCAGCGCTGGAGGATCGGAAACGGGTGAGGGGGAATCTCTGCGGTGAGCGATGACTGACGGTCACCGCTCACTGCAGGGAGACGTTCGGGAAGTGGGCGGATCGGCGGCATGTTTCTGCTCACTTCCCGATCAATAGAGCCCACCTGTGACAGTTTCATTTGTCACAGGTCGGCTCTTACTATGAGGATGAGTGGAAATCACTCCCCTCATAGTTCTCCTTTTAAGTACCATACATTCTCCAAAGCACATGAAAGGCCTCTAATTTCCCTTGAAGTATTACATTTTATATACTAGGTTTTTTTAAAGCAGAACTCCAGGCAAATCTTTTCTTAACCCTTGCAGTGCAGTTATCCCTGCTCTGCAGGGGTTAAAGGCTCATTTTTGTCTAGGTGCTAAAATAAAAAAACGTATACACACCCGCACTGTGGAGCCAGCCAGCTGTCAGAGCACTCCCTCTAGCCTGTCTCCTCCTCTACTGCAGCGATGGTATGTCCCTCGGTGTCCTCACATCCAATACACTGTGATGACTCACAGGACCTTTGACTGTGGGAGCGAAGCGCCAGGGACGGGTGTGAGAGCAAGCCGGCTCTGAGGATCAGGTGACTATGACTTAATTTTAGCACTTGAAAAAACAAGCACAAACCTCTTGTAGTGCTGGGGTAGCCCCCCCCCCTTTAAAATAACATCAAAAATAGAAACGTTGCTCAGGACTCCCCGTTCTGGCTTCACAGGTTTGACCCACCTTTCTTCTTAATAACCAATGTTCTGCGTGATCTTGTTTGCTACATTTGCTGGATGTCTCTGAATATTGACCGCTCTGCTCTCTCCTCAGGGCCTGTATGACAACTTCTTGAACATGAAGGTGAAAGAGTCCAGTTTCGGCACAGTGTGTTTGGCTCTGGACTGGTTGGGGTTTACAGACGTAGTCAATACAACGATAATGCGTGGGCAGAACTTCCAGTTAATGAGATACCTGCCCTTCCTCCCTGTCGCCTTCCACCTCTTCTTCGCAGCCAACAACATCCCTCGGATTGCCTATCCCAACAGCCACTACGAGGTATATCCAGGCTTACCTTTTCTTTATTACATTGTTTCCCCAGTTTTTTTTTTTTGTTTTTTTAAAAAAATCAGTTTTAGCCCAGGAGGTTGATCATCCTCATCCAGTGTATATGAGAACTTGACATTGTAAATGGGGCCCTCCTGGTTGCAGTACTCCTTTGTGACCTCTAGATGATGCTAACTCATTAGACTCATTTTGTTGCTGTGCAGTATTAGTGCCACCAGGTACATTGACGGGTGTCTATTTCATGGATTCTAAAGCAGTGTTACTATTCCTCCATTCTGTTTTGTACGAACTGCATAAATAGCGCTGCAGCATGGGGAGCACAGGGGGCTTATAGGGCAACACAGATAAGGTGTATCATTTTTGTAAAGCCTAACAGGGTTGACTTTTTTTTTTTTTTGCTACATACAACACCTTTTTTTTTTTACAGTTCTGCTTTAATTGTATGTAAAGACAGAACTTTACCTTTAGTAAAAGAACATTCCACTCTTGATATCATTGGAAACGGCCTGTAAACAAAACCTCCTGCTGTTGAAATACAGCTTAAAGCTATCGATGGATATGGATGGGACCCATACTTGCTGTACGATATATTCTTCCTTTTATATACTGTTACATTCGATATGTGTCATTTTCACAATATGCTATTTTATTGGAGCAATGTGAACCATTTTTCTATGTTTATTCCTTACAAAACTTGAATAAAAATATTGAAACAGGAATGAAGTTTAAAGATAACCTGTGCTTTGCCCATGTAGGACATAGGGGCAGGCAACCAGGGGTAAGCAGCCTCGTTACACCAACTGTTGTGAAACTACATGTCCCATAAGGCATTGCAAGACTCTGACTTGACTCTCAGAGGCATTGTGGGATTGTAGTTTCACCACAGCTGGAAAGCCAAGGTTGCCTACTCCTGGGTTAGATATTGCCCAAGTATAGGCATATCCAAACCTATGTTTTTCTTTTTTTGAATTCCAGTAGAGTTATGTAGGGTCTATTATGTTTTAGTTGCTGTCTTTGTCCTGATGACCATTGTCACTGGGACTGAAAGGAAAATCTAGAATTTTAAGGCCTCATTCACACTGCCGCACATATACACACGTATTGTCCCATATGCAACATATGCAAATAAATGGCTCCATACACATAGCTGCGTATGGAGCCGTATATTTGCGTAGCGTAAACATGCGTAAAAACAGAATGGAATCGGGATTCTTGTTCTGGTGTTTCACTTCTGAGAGTGGATTTTCCTTACTTTTGAGACTTCCTCACAGTTCCTGTGTCGACAAGAAGTGAAGGGAAATCTTCCCAATGGGTTACAGGCCCAACACAAAAAGGGTTTTCTTTTACCAATTCTTACTCTAAAAATAAAGGTTTTGGTTTTAGATCTACTTTAAAGAGTAACTGCCCTTTATTGTGCTTTGCTTTGACCTTCCAGGCGCAGTCCAAAATGAACCAGATGCTGAATATTCTTAACTCGATGGTCTCTGAAATCTCTCCACATATTCGTACACATGTGGGCCCTCAGTCCTTGGTACTAGATGCCCTCTGCCTCCTGCTGGATGTCATCTCACCAAAGATGCGCCCTGTGAGTATTTTTCTCCTAAATTATTTGAACAAAACAACATTGTGATCTTAGCCTGTGTCTACCTTGCAGCTATAGGGCCAAAACAAGGCAGTGATTGGTGTTCTAGCATTTACCTTCACTGGCCAACAAGTGCTTATCAAGACCTCAGGGAGTCCACTTGGGTATAACTACAAAGCGCTAGACAAAACAAAGCTCTTCCTCATGTGTGGCTCAATCCCACACTCTGTCTATACATCCAAAATCGGTCCAAATACTTATAATAGTAATAAATTTCAATGAACGGGAGAGAAAATAGGATTTTTGTACTCACCGTAAAATCCTTTTCTCTCCGTTCATTGAAGGACACAGGTCCCGCCCTCTATGTTGGGTGTGTACTCCTAACTGCTTGTTACTTACTGGAGACTTGTCAGCAAGTGAGGGGTTGGGCCACCAGCAGGGGCCGCCCCTAGGCTGTCTTGTCTTTTTGTTATGTGCCTAGCGTCCTACTCCTGCAGGTGGCGATATACCCTACCATTCAGGATCTACGATCTTTTGCCCTGTGTCCTTCAATGAACGGAGAGAAAAGGATTTTACGGTGAGTACAAAAATCCTATTTTTTCAATAATAAATCCGGATCAAACAAATCTAAATTGCTAGATGAGGCGAAATATCTGCATATCCCAGAGGATACACATGAATAACATTACCTCAGTTCTCCAAGTACAAAGGTCCAGTTCCCCTTCATGTATCCGTTCCTTTCACACTGCTTTTAACATGGGTCTCCATTGACGCACATCATCCAAAGGAAACAATCTATTGAGAACATAGACGTGTCCATCCTGGGTATGCACTAGAACCTTGGTTCTCAACTGGTGGGTCGTGAGCCAAAAGTGGGTCGCGACCCCATGTTCAGTGGGACGCCCCATGCCTTCCACTTTTCTAGGTGAGAGCCTCCTCAGCCTCCCCCCAGTGCAGCACTCTAATTTTTCGCACCGAGCAGCCATTCAAAATATGCTGCCCGGATCCGAGTGACACTGGGTCGCGACACTCTTTTGGGTCACGACCCACCAGTTGAAAACCAAAGATTTAGATGGATGTGTTACTAGCTTATTGGATATTGGCTAACAAAAACGGCCATCTGCTCCAGGGCTAGAGACTGATCACATGAGGAAAATTAAGAAGAGAGTTAACATGGAGTGGGGATCAGGAGGAATTGGGGAAGAGAGAGCAAAAGAACAGCCTCAGGCTGGATAGAGTAAGGGAGAGTTTTATAGCTTCTCCTTTCAGGTGGGCATAAAGGGTGGAGATCACCTCAAGTGCACAGGTATCATCCCAACAAACACGTTTATAGTGGGTGGGAAGCTGTGTGATAAGGGGTCCAGGAATCCGATACCTAAACCAGTGCTTTTTTGCATATAGGGAAAAAAACTCTGTAGAGGCAATTTTGGTATATTGTAAAGCGCTGCGCAAACTGTCGGTGCTATATAAATCGTGTATAATAATAGTAATATACTCTCCTAAAATCTCCCAAGATATAAGATCAGAGGAGCAAATCAGGTGATGTATGGTGGTGGAATTATCTTATCACCACCTAAAAGGCCATGGGAAAATTTACATGTGCAGTGTAGGTACCTAAATGTGACCTGGTATCAGCCTCTTGCAGTCCCTATACAGCAGGACTGGAGTGTGAGAGGAAGTAGCAGTACTAGGAGACAATTTTTTTTAGGTGCTGACAAGAAGCATGCTGATAGGAGACAGAGATGAATTTGTCACTGTGTTGCTTCTCCTTTTACTGTCCAGTCACAGGCTGGAGCAGATCCAAGATGACTTGAGCTCAGAGGAAGTGGATTTAATAATCCCTGGTAGTAATGCACCAATACTGGGCATTTTCCACGAGTACTCTTGAAAATGCCCCAATTCTACACACTGGTACTGGTGCTTTACATTTTTTAACTGAACCGGCTGCAAGTGGTCCAGTGCTTGCTGAGACCCCGTGGCAGCCTCTGGGGAACCACACGGAATTGCTTATAAAACTTCTGCCACCCACACATATCCCCCTGCTGAGACCCTCCTAACCCCTCCTGAGACCCTCCGCTGGAGACATCGGACCTGCAACCAAGTATGTAGCAACATATTATTCTGAATTGCTGTGTAATGCATTGCTAAGCTTTGTAGTCCTCTGTAGCCGACAGTATTATTTTGCATTGCTGTGTAATCTATTGGTGTGGTTTGTAGTCCTCTATAGCTGATGGTATTATTCTTCATTGCTGTATAATGGATTTGTCCAATCCAAACCCAGAACTCGTATCTTCCAAAGTGGCAGCTCCTGTTTTTTCTATGCTGATGGGTTTGTAGTAAAGTAAACCTCCACCTAACAACATTGGCTATAGTTTTATGACTTTGTAGCCTTTATCACGACAGAGCCGGCCTGCTTGAAAACTGACAATGGCTGCAAATTGCAGGGCTCACATCCTCAGGCTTACAGTTTAGAAATGTCTTCCCGGCGGTGTTTTCTTTCCTCCGCTGTGTGTTGCGTTTGGCTTTGAGACTCCATTGACGTCTATGAGCCTGGACAGTGTTTGTTGTCCGCCGCGTTCTCTTGAATCTCGAGGTGTCAGACAAGGTCATCGTCTCCCCCCCGGGGTCTGAGGTTATTTTCTTTTTGTTCTTTATTTAGGTCCGTAAGCCCTAGGCTCATATCCTTTTAATTTAATTGTGATTGAAGCGAACCAAAAGCAATTTAATCTTTGTCTCCGGGTGAGCCAAGGGCCAAGGCAATTAGACTGAAAACTCATATTTTTAGACTTAAAGTGATT